GATAGTGATAATCAAATGAGAAACAATTGTTAGTGAAATAACAGTGATAACAATGATTAAAAAAGACAGTGATAATCAAATGATAACCAATTAACGATGAAATAACAATGATGATAATGATAAAGAGACAGTGATGATCAAATGAGAACCAATTATTAGTGAAGTAACAGTGATAACAATGATTAAAAAGGACAGTGGTAATCAAATTTTTTTAAGCTCTGAAGAATTTCATATATTTAAATTTAAAAAATCAAAATTTTACGAAACAAAAAAAATGAGACATTGGATGAATTGTTTGATAATCAAATAATTTTCAAAGTTCTAACTAATTAATGATAAAAGCACTTTTCTTAAATAATCAGCTTTTTGATTAATTAATGAGAAACCAATGGGATAACCAATAAATAGCTCTTTTTTTTGATAATTATCTTTACTTGAATAATTAAGTTACAAAACAAACTTTATCATAGCAGTTTCGATTACTTTACTCGTAGAACCACTTGAAAGTGATGTAGCAGTAGGTTTTGCATATGTCAATCCAATATTTATATCATGTGTTGACAAGTCCTCTGCATCAAAATCCAGATCCTAAAACAATAGGAAATGGTAAAATTTAAACTTCTAAAATATAGATTTGTTTAAGTTTTCTCTTTTTCTTTTAACTATTAGTATATTTTAGACAGAGGGAAAGAGAGAGAGAGAGAGAGAGAAAGAGAGAAAAAAGAAAACCAGGATTTTACTGAACTTTAACCTCAGTTCGGATTTTTGTTTTATCATCACATCTTCGATTTAATGCTAGACATTGATCGGTGAATAGAGCGCTATTATACGGTAGAATGAATAATCTTTAAAATGTCACAATCATTAGGTAAAATTTTTTAAAAAATTTGAAATTCAAATCTTTGAAATTTTTGCTTGATTTATTTAAAATTTATTTAAAAATTTTCAAAATTGTCAGTAATAGATTTAATTTTTTTTATTTTTTGCTTTCTAATGCAAAAGAATTAAACATTCAGGCAATTACTAAAAATTACTAAATGCATTATGTAATTATCATTTTACTATGAAAAATTTTAAATTTTGCTAAAATTCAAACTTGGCTGTTTTGGCTAATCTTTCGTGACGTGGCCTCCAAAGATGTAATGTTATCCATAATTGTACCATCAAAATGGCAAGCCAAATTTGTGTCAATGATGAAAGGAAAAATTCTGACAAACTTTTTGCTGTATCACAACGCCAGAATAATTCCTGAAAAAGTTTTACCGGAAAAGTCAAGTTAAATATTTAAAAATTTCAATTCCAATATAATAAAAGTTATGAAATATAAAAAATCTGGTTCTTATAGAAACTTTCGTGTTATTTAACTGGATCATTCAAATTTGTGAATCGGAAACATTCCGTAAACAAAATTGTCTCGTAATTTTCTGATGACAAAATAAAACAAACTTCTGTTTATTTCTGTCACTGTTTAATTACAAAAAAATTCTAAGAGTAGTAGAAAATCGTTCCGAAAAATTGTAATTCATCCGGAATGTTTACTTTAGGAAGAAAATTAGTTGAATGACAAGCATTGGTATGACGTTTTGTACACATTATGAATAATACAGCAACAGTTGCCGGAACACTAAGTATTACCGGTAATGCAAAACATGTTCGTTGTAGCATTACCTGAAATTTAATTAATGAATTGAATAAAGCTAACATTGTGGAAGAAGTATTATATCCGATCAATTTTAACATGATCAAATTTATAAAAATTAATCCAGATCGATTAATATGTTTAACTTTTCAAGCAAACATTTCTTTATAAAATAACATTTAAGTTATTCATTTTTGGAATTCAATTAAGATTTTTTGATTAAAATTATTAACAAAATCAAATAATGAATAGCAATTTAATTTCATTAATTTTCATTTTT